CCCCCCCCCCCCACCCCCCCCCCCCCCCCCCCCCCGTGCCTGGGCCGGAAGTGCCGGGTTATCGTCCTCCAGCAGGGAGCGGTGTGATTAAAGGGCACCGCTGCCACGGTGGTTGCTGTGTGTGCGGGGGTGGGGAACGTCATTCTCCTTGGCCTCTTGCCTTCCAGGAGGACATACCATCAAGTCAGAAAGTGAACAGGCTTTCAAACACCCAGAGTTCAGTTGGGAATACTCTGAAAATGGTCCTTTTTCTTCTTTGTGTCACAGAGAAACGGAAAGAACAGAGTGCATATTCCTGGAAAGTACGCAGTGTGTACTTCCTGCTGGAGTATAACCCTCTGTGGACCGTTAGGCCACTAACTGTTCTGCACAGCCTGAAGGGAGTCAGGGAAACTCTCAACACAGGGAACTGGGGAGATACAGTGGCCGTGAGTAGACCAAGATCAGTCACCGAATTCTTGGGGGCAGACCAAAGGAGCTGACATTTCAAAGGACTTATTTCTGTTTTAGTAAGAACTCGTTATCTTACCTGGTGGCAGCTATGTGCTATCACCGGCGTGGCTGTGATGTCATCTGGACTCGTGGGCTTCCTCTGTGGAGTCTTCCTCCACTCCGCTCCTGCGAGACCACAGCTGCAGCTCCTGCTCTGCTTCCGGTGGGGGGAGGGGGGCAAACTCGAAGTCAGGGGCCAGAACCCTCCTCAGCTGTGCATTCTGCCAAGGGCTTTCCCTACTGCCGGCAGAGCACGGTGTTCCTTTATAGCCACAAGCTGGTCTGGTACTATCCAGCCAACCCTCTCTCCCCTCAGTGTGGATGGTGGTGGTCTTATTCACTTTGAAGATTTGTCTAATTATGGATGTGTGATGTCTGTGCACTCACGTGCAGGTGCCTTGACGAGGCCAGAGGCATCAGATCCCCGGAGCTAGAGTTGCCAGCTGTTGTGAGCCACGGATGTGGGTGCTGGGAGCTGAACTTGGGTCCTCTAGAAGAGCAGTGCATACTCTTGGCCCCCTGAAC